TGGTGGAAAATTGAGTTCGCCACCTCCGTATGTAACTCCCATTCGTGGTCCGTGGTGAAGTTTCGGCTGAGGGAGTCCGCTTTGGTATTGTTCACTCCGGGCAGGTAGGATGCTATAAGGGTGACTTGGTTGCGGATGCAAGCGTTCCACAGGCGAATAGCCTCCGCGCATAGAGAGCGGGAGTGGGCTCCACCCTGTCTGTTTATGTAGAACATCGCACAGATGTTGTCTGTTAGGATGCGGACTGTGTGATTGGCGATGTGGGAGGCAAAGTGTGCACAGGCATTTCTTACTGCCCTCAATTCGAGGAGATTGATATGTAAGAGTGTCTCGTTTGGGGACCACCTGCCTTGAACTTCGTGGCCTTCCATATGTGTCCCCCACCCGAGCAGGGAAGCATCTGTGGTGATTTGAATAGTGGGTTCGATTTGTTGGAACGGAACCCCCGCCAGAAGATTGTTTGGCACTGTCCACCATCGTAAGGATGCGAGCACGTCTGGTGGGATAGTAACCATTTTGTTTTGAGGGTGTCTTGATGGGATATAAACGGCTGCAATCCAGAGCTGAAAATATCGAAAGTGCAGACTAGCATGGTGGACTACGTAGGTGGTGGAAGCCATGTGTCCCATTAGTCGGAGGCATGTAAGTATTGTGGTGGTAGGAACTGTGAGCATCCCGTTTATAATTTCTTGCATGGTTGCAAAGCGTTGAGGTAGGTATGCCCGGGCTGTAACTGAGTCCAGGCGTGCGCCAATGAACTCTATGTCTTGAACTGGGTGCAGAATTGATTTGTCTTGGTTGATTAGAAGGCCTAGACGATTGAGGAGGGCCGTGGTCGTATGTATCATAGAGGCGGTTTCAGCGTATGAGGATCCCTTTAAAAGGCAGTCGTCTAGGTAGGGAAATATGATGACGTTCTGCCGTCTGAGATACGCAGTTACGACCTCCAGCACCTTTGAAAATACCCTTGGAGCTGAGAGACCGAAGGGAAGAACCTTGTACTGGAAATGGTCCAGTCCCAACTTGAAGCGTAGGTAGCGTCTGTGGGAGGGGTGGATGGTTACACGGAAATAGGCATCTTGGAGGTCAAGGGCTGCGAACCAGTCCCCTCCATCTTGGAGGTCGAGGGCTGTGAACCAGTCCCCTTGATCTAGCGCAGGAAAGATTGTGGAGAGAGTGACCATCTTGAAATGTTGTCTCTTGAGAAATTTGTTCAGTTTGCGGAGATCCAATATAGGTCTCCAACCCCCTGTTCTTTTCTCGGTCAGGAAATAGTTCGAGTAAAACCCTCTCCCATGGAACTCTCGGGGTACCGTTTCTATAGCCCCAATGACAAGAAGCCGATTGACTTCTTGTTTTAGAAGGGTTTCGTGAGAGTGGTCCCTGAAAAGGGACGAGGTAGGGGGAGGGGTAGGGGGGATAGAAATAAAAGGGATGGTATAGCCCACTCGAATTATCTCTAGGACCCAGCGGTCCAATGTTATTGATTCCCACTGTGGGAGGAAGGCGCGGAAACGGTGGTTGAATAGATGGCCATGTTGAGGTGCGAGATCGAACAGGAGGTCTTGCAGGCCCTCGACCAAATGTTCAAATTAGCTGCTTAGATGGTTGGTTAGCTAGCGGGCGGGCTTAGCTGGGTCGCCTTCTGGGACCTCGCTGTCTTGGTCTGTTGTCTTCATAAGGCCTCTGTGGTCGATTGTATTGTCCATACCGATATCGATTATATGAATTATATGGGGAGTATCGCCTGCGTTTATAGGGTGGCGTGAACATACCTAGCGTGCGAAGTGTGGACTTAGAATTTTTGCTGTTGTGGAGCATTTCGTCCGTAGTGGCTGCAAATAGCTTTTGTTTGTCAAATGGCAAGTCCTCCACTTTGGGCTGGAGTTTGCGGGGAACTCCAGACGACTGGAGCCAAGAAGCTCTACGCATCACCATCACTGTAGCTGTAACTTGGGCTGCAGTGTCAGCTACATCCATTGCCATTTGGAGAGCGGCGCGGCATTGGGTCCCGGCATTGACCGCACTTTTTATACCCTGAGGAGCTGGACATTGCGGGCTCTCTCCCTCTTGAAATTATTATATTTATCTTCTATATTGTTATAGTTTATGTGGTTTTGCTTCTTCTTCTTTTTTTTTTTTTTAAGTCTTTATGTGTTTCTTGTTTTGACAGGCGGGAGAAAGCCGGTTCACCGGAGTCCCGGTCTGAGGTAAGTTCAAGCCCCCTGAGGGGGGGGATTTAATTAAGTCTATTTTTCCTATTTCTAGGGGGGGTTTTTTTTTTTTTTATAAAGAAACAAGGAAAGAGTAACTAGGATAAACAGGGGAAGCTAATTATGCCTAAATAACTAAGGGGAAAGTAGTCAGATAGTCTGACAGGGAGCTCCTGGCTGCTCCGTCCACTGACGAGGGCGGTTAAAGAGGAACTGAAAGGGAGGGGGTTGAGTCACACTCCTCAGGGGGCGGGAAGGGCTCGAGATGCCTCCTGGGCATGCGTGGCTCAACAGGGGAAACTGCTATACAAAGCTCCGATCTGCAGCTCAAGGCAACCCTTCACCTACAGTGGAGCACCCACGGGGACACTACTCGAAGAAGAAAGTGTAGTTATGACTAATTTGTATTGCATTGGCAGTTAGGTGCCCTCAGATGTGACTCAGGACATTACTGTGCTAGATGTTGTGCAAATAGAACTAATGACAGGCCTTCCCCCAAGACTATACAGTTTAAGTAGATAGAATCCTACCTAATCCTGTAACTACAGCTCTGGCGGCTGTGAGACTTGTTTCATTTTAAAAATGGTAATTCAGAACTCGAAGGGTGATACAGAAAAGAATGACTATGGGCCAGATTTGCTGCTGGTGTAAGCAGCTCTGTGTAATGTCAGAGGCCATGGACGAAGTGTTCCCTGTTTCATAAATTGCCTAGGGAGGTTGTGGAGTCTCCATCACTGGAGATATTTAAGAGCAGGTTGGATAGACATTTATCCGAGATGATCTAGACAGTGTTTCTTAAATTGCGTTCCATGGCACACCGGTGTGCCACAAGGCAGTCGGAGGTGTGCTGCAGAGAACAACAGAATTCAAAATGGCCACCGCTAAACGGGCAAGCGACTCCTCCTCCCCCCCAATAACTTTCCCCCAATCCTTTTTTTCCCCTCAATAACTTTCCTCCCGACCCTTTTTCCCCCCGACCTTTTTTTTTTCCTCAACAAAAAATCCTTGGTGTTCCTCATAAAAAAAATATATTGTTTTGTGTTTCTCGGTCTTAAAAAGTTTCCTCTGTGAGGGCAGAGGACTGGGCTTGCGGACCTCTCGAGGTCCCTTCCAGTTCCAATGTTTTATAATTCTATGAGGAAAGAATTTGTCCCTTTCTGTGAAGTATTCCCTTCTTTTTACCTCAGCATGCAGAACAATCTGCTCCTCGTTTTACCCATTGCCTATTAATTTGAGGGCTATATTTTTCGGTCATTTCCACTTAGGAAAATGTGTGTATGCTGTGCATGGCTTGCATTCACTTGATCTATTAAAGCGCCTTTCAACTTTGATTGCTCATGGAAGCCTTTCGTAATCAAGGGAAAGGCACTTCTGTACATCCAACCCTCTTTGTCATCCTTATTACATTAATTGGAATTGATGGAGTAGGGGTGGTAGGAGTTGATTTCACCATTCTGTATGAAGCCTGCTGCTCAAATGAGAGCTGATCTGCTTTGAAAATGCTTCCCCTTTCATGCAGCTCGTGTTGTTTTTTTTTTTTTAAGGCATCTACCATTTAACGCTCTTCATCTTTCAAAAGTGAGCAAATACTTGTACTTAATTTAATTATGATAATCATGCAGGTGTCTTGTGCAGTCCATAAGATGGATTTTGATTTTCCAGCTACAACATTCTGAAAGGGAAGAGAGGGCTCACTTGGTCTATAACGTACGAGTGGGAAGAATGAATTCCAAATACTTAATAATAGTAGCATCAGTGTAGGTTGCACTAATGACATGGCCATGCATGCTCTTAGCCGGTGTTGATTCTGCTGGGGGAAGTGCTCAGTAGGTTCCCCAGGCTCGCTGAGATGGGTGGCTCACTCATTGCCCTTCCTAGTTATGACAGGAGTAGGAGTAGATCTCTAAACAGAAAGGATCTAATGTGCAGGTGTCGGGGGACGGGAGGGAAGATGAGTCAAAGGGAGAAACTTCTCCAGGGCCTGGTGATTCTAAAGGAATACCAGGTGGCTTTAAGGCAGGAGTGGGCAATAATTTTTGATGGGGGGGCCACTCCAAAGCTACATCTACACTGCAGGCTTTTTGCACAAGAACTGTTTTGCACAAGAGTTCTTGTGCAAAAAGTCTTGTGCAAGAGTGCATCCACACTGCCATGTGCTTTTGCGCAAGAGCGCCCATGACAGTGTGGATGCTCTCTTGCGCAAGAAAGCTCTGATGGCCATTTTAGCTATAAGGCTTTCTTGTGCAAGAAACCCTGTTGCCTGTCCACACTGCCTCCTTGTGGAAGAGCAAGAGGGCTTATTCCTTGTGGGGAGAGGAATAACTCTTGCACAAGAAGCCCTGTTTTCTAACGCTGTACTGTAAATTTACACGCACAAGTACGCGCGTGCAGTGTAGACGCTCTGCAAGTTTTTGTGCAAAAACAGCTGTTCTTGCACAAAAAGCCTGCACTGGAGACGTAGCCCAAGATTTTGGAAAGTGGTTGAGGACCACACTCTTCCATGATATTAATGGAGGAGGAGCAGAGTCTGGGATGGAAGTTGGGTGCGGAAGGGAGCTTGCAGTGAGGGGCTGGGGTGCAGGAGGGAGAATGGGGTCTAGGAGGGAGTTTGGGTGAAGGAGGCAGTTGTGACCTAAGGTAGCAGACTAGGATGCAGGATTTTGGGATGTGACCTAGGCTAGGAGGAGCTTGTGATCTGGGGCAGGGGATTGGGGTGCCAGATCTGGGATGGGGTATTGGTGCAGAAGGGGGCAGAAGGTTTGGGTATGTGAGGGGAGGGGGGCAGAGGGTTGGGGAAGGGAAAGGCTGGGGTGTCAGAGGCAGGCTCCAGGTGGAGATGGCTCGCTACTCCATGTGGCTCCGCTCAGGTATGAGAGGGAAGGGAAGAGAAGAGAAAGGAAGGGAAGGGGGAGGGGAAAGAGGAGGAGGGAGCAAGAAGCTTTCCTACATTGCCCCTGTTCCCAGCAAAATTTCTTGGCCCCCCTTGGCCAGAAACTGAGAGATTGGCCAATGGCAGCTAAGAGATTATGCTGGGGGGGCGGGGAGGAGGGAACAGCATGAGAAGTCTCCCTCTCCAGCTGTCCAGAGCGGAGAACAGCTGGCTTTCTAAAATGTGAACTGATCTCTGCCTAAGGGCTCCAGCGAGGGGGCTATGAGCTATATGTGTTGGCTTGGCGGGTCGCATCCGGCCCGCTGGCAGCCTCTTGCCCACCCCTGCTTTAAGGGCTGGTGGAAGCAGCACAGTGTACTCCAGGCAGCGCTGAGGACTGGCTGCCCCACCCCATCCCTTCCCCCTAAGGTCCTGCCCCTTCCAGATCACAAAGCTACACTCCCCCCCCCACACACACACACTTTACCCAGAGGTTCAGAGAGGCTGCCGCCCCCTCTTCCCCCGGCTGCAGCCTACACACAGAAGTCCTGAGAGTCTGTGGGGAATGTCGTGGGGAAACCAGAACATCCATGTTGAGGAAAATTCTGAATTTTTGTTCAAAGTGAATCCTCCCCGCCCCCCACACACAAAAAAAACCTCACCAGTTGAACTTCCCAAAAAGCTCGATTTTCAACCTAAAATGGTATTTGAATCAGAGTTTGTCTTGCTAGACCACAATTTTTTTTTTTTACCTTAAAGAGATGTCAAAGCAAAGCAACAACAACAAAGTGGTTTGGAAGTGAGAAATTGAAATATTCTATTTGGAAAAGTTCAAACAAAAACATTTTGACATTAATTAATCATTTGGAATTTTCCAATGAAACTGAAGTGGATTTTGGTGATTTGACTTTTACTACACAAGAGTGTTTTGTCCTAAAATTTTTGGCCATCTCGAATGAGAATACGGATGACTGACAGACTGACCAGAGAAGTGATTGAATGATGTTAGCATAGGGATTCCCTTGTGGGCAGCTCCATGATGCGAGTGCTAATGATATTACTGTCTCATCCATTACAGGAAAGTACTAGTTAGTACAGATTCTGTTGTCCAACAGTTGAGGTGCGTCTACTCTGTACTTTTAGCTCGGAATAAGATACACAACTTGGGTGCGTCTAGACTGGCAAGATTTTCCGTTAAAAGTATTTCCACAACATCATGCCAGTCTAGACGTAGTCCTTGAGTTACACAAATTGCGTATCTTATTTGGATCTAATTTTGAAATAGCTTATTTTAAAATTTAGCACTGTCTACGGTGCACCAAATTTTCTAAATAAACTGCTATTCCAAAATGTCCCTTAACCCTTGGGGAACAAGGGCTACAGGGACATTGGAATAGTAAGCCTGTTATTTTGAAATAATGGGCTGGTTCAAAAGATGCAGAATAGCTATTTTGGGATACATCTGGTATCCTGAAATAGTCCTGCAATCTAGACGTACTCTCAGAGAATTGGACCAGGAATTCCTGTATATAGTTCCCCTAAGGCAGTGCTCTCCAACCTTTTTAAGCACAAGATCAGTTTTTGAATTTAAGTGCAATCCAAGATCAAATATAAATTCCCTTGCCCTCCCTCCTTCCCACCCCTTCTCCAAGGCTCCACCTCTGCTCACACCATCCTCCCTCTCCTGCCCATCCTCACTCACTTTCACCAGGCTGGGGCAGAGGGTTGGGGTGCAGGCTCTGGTCTTGGATGAAGGGCTCTGGAGTGCAAGAGGGGCTCTGAGCTGCTCTTCGGACAGGCAGTTGGGCTGCAGGAGGGGGTTCTAGGTGCATGCTCTGGGATGGTGTTTGGATGCAGGGATGCTCGGGGCAAGGACAGGAGCTTGGGGCATGGGGGGGGTCATGAGTGGGGTAGGAGTTTGGGATGTGGGCTTCAGCTGGGCATGTCTGGTTTGTGGTACTGTGGGGCTAAGGCAGGATCACTACTGCCTTGGCCCTGGCCCTGGCCCACTCCCCAAAGCAGCAAACACCATCCCAGGTCCTGTTGTGCCCCCTTTCTAGTCTGTGGAGAAGGGATACAGAGTGGCAGAGGGGGCATCCTGACATCAGCACTCCTCCTGTCCCTCCCT